TACATTTTAGCATTTTTTTTTACTTTACGTATAAAGAAAAATATTAGAATTATTTATGGGATTCTTTGACAATTTTGAAAATTTAACAATTTAATTCAACTAGAATTTTTATTGAAACTCATAGAATTTGAATCAAAGCACATAGAATTATTTTATAAGCATCTTTTTTTGTTTCTAGTTTAAAATAAATTGTCACCCTTAAAAATGTTTTGTAAACACATATTTTAAAACTCTTAACTGAAAACTGAATATATAAAATTTTAACTCGAACTCATAGAATTCTAAAATGCAATAATTTTGCAGTCGAAGCTTTTTTGCGGATTTAATGAGAAAAGCAAAATATTTTTACAGGAAAAATAATTGAAATAAGTATTTCTAGAAATTTCAGTAATAATCTTATAACTATTATCGAAACTCATAGAATTTGAATTAAAACTCTTATGACTATAATTACTAAAATAATAAGTTAAACGTATAGCAACTAAATAATTTTCCGATGATTTTTATTATCCAAACTAATTTTATTATTACTTTTAGAAAACAATAGAATTACTCGCAGCATTTTTTAAAATCTCAAAACTTTTATCAAAACTCATAGAATCTTAATTGAAAATCAATTCATTTGAATGAAAACCCATAAAATTCTAGATTTTCATTAAGAAATAGAGAACAATGAAATAATTTTGAAAAACTAGGAATTATTTGAAAAACTCTTTGTAATAGTATCAAAAAATTTATTCGAACTCATAGAATCATAGTTAAAACTCATAAAAGCAAAAATTTTGAATTTACTGAAGTAGAGAGCCTTCTTCATTCTTAATTAAAACTCATAAAATACTATATTAATTCACTCCTGTAAAGCATCTTCTTTAAAAAGTTATTATTATGGGAACTCATAGAAACTTAATTAAAACTCATAAAACCCTAAATTAATTCACTTAACTACATCATCTTCTTTAAAAAGTTATTTGCTGATAATATTATTGTCAAAAAAGTATATGATTCTCTAAATAAATCATAATAATAATAATAATAACAGAAAGTTTAGCAAAACTCATAGAAATTAGTGATTAATTACTTAGAAATTATTAAAAACACCTGAAATTCTAAATTAAAATTTTTTTAAATGTAGCATATGGTCAATTTTTATTTTAAAGTAAACTTATTATTATAGGGATTTTTTTGAGGAAGTTTTTCAAAAATCTTAAGAACTCATAAAACTTATTCTAAGCAGGTTTGGTATAGGTATACTAAAAATTTTGTTCCTCAATAATTCATTCAAAACGAAATAAAAAATATAAAATTGCTTTTAAACAAGAATAACTGTATTTTCAATATTTACAAATTGTTTCAATTTAAAAATTTTAATTATCTTATTACGCAATTAGAGTTAAAATGACATTATGAAGATTAGATAAATTTTTCTGACATTACTATACTAATTTTCTTTTTCATTATATGTATCAATAAGATAACTTTCTCTTTCTCACTCTTTCAAAACAAAGAAAAGCAACGCTGAATGCAATATTATTCTCAATAGCACACGGAGAGAGAATATATATTAAATTTTGCAATTAAGTATTTTACAATTTGGGAAAAAAGGCAACAAATCGAAATTTTTATACAAATAATACTAAACTTTAAAAAAAGTTTTATGAAATTTAGTGCACAAATTAGGACAATTTCTTTACGGATTACAACAAATGTTTGTCATTCATGCTTAAAATTTGCAAAATTGCATTTTTTGTTCTTTTTCTTCTTCTTCTTCTTCTTCTGTTTCTTAGCACTTAGCTTCAATTGATCTAACTTTGCATTGGAACAATTTTGATACCTTTTTTTGGTCTTAAATTGATATTCTTAAAAAAAACTTTGATATTTTAGTTGAATCAACCAAAATAATTTTGCTGTACAGACGAACAATTATTTGGTTCAACTAAATATTTGCATCATTTGGATAAATTCTTCCTTTGAACTTGAATTTTATTAAACTGGATCATAATATTTTAAATCAAAAATTTGTGTTTAGGTTCGAAAAACTTAATTTTCACTATAAAAACATTGATATGGTAGAGAAATTTTTACTAGGCCCTAAAGGCGACCAGCCTAGGAAGTAGATTAAACTAGACACTTTAGTGTCTTTTATCAGTCGGATCAATCAGGCCCTGAGTCCTAAATAGGAGCCGAATCTAGTTTTAATTTGTTCCACTTCCTAACCTGGCGCAAACTAGAATTAGATTTTAGACTAAATTTCCAAGATTATATTGACTTTCCCTATTAGCGTCTTTTATATTCCAATACATTTCCATTTCTCTCTCTCTCTCTCTCTCTCCGTCTTCTTTAAGTTTCTTCAAGTGCCTGCAATAACTGGACTTATCATCAATTCTTTTCCTCCCCTTGCCTCTTTTTTGCCTACACTCTCGATACTCTTTTATCGCCATTGAGGAGCATTGAATTCTCCATTCAATTTCACCAGTAAATTGCCTCCTTCACAACATATTCCAAAACTTGTCCATATACCACCCTGTTCCTTCATTGTTCTAAGTGCACTTTTGTTCCTAAATGTTGGTTTATTCATTAGCTCACTCTCGGGTTTTTTTTTTCAATCCAAATCCTCAAACTCATTACTGTACTTACTAATTGTAAGTATTAATTTTAATTTACTAATTACATGGAGAGAAATTTATAGTAGTGGATAACATAATGATGGTTAGGGAGATCATCTTTAATGCTACAAATACAAACAGCTATCTAGATAGTAACCGTTACCATAAAGATTATTCGGAGTAACATCTTGATAGTACAGGGTAGCATAACTATATTTTTGTAACATCTATGATGGTAGCCAGTAGCATAATAGTATGTGCATTAATTATCATGTAACATAATCTTTTTAACATCAAAATCTTACTATCCATTTCTCTCAGTGTACACTAATCGATGTGTTTTGATTTTAGTGGAATTATTGAGTTCAGCATCAATTTCAAATAATCATTTTTGAAGATTAATTTCTAAATTTAAATTAGGATTCAAGTAACTTAAAGCATTTATAGCATTCCTTTGATAAGAAAAGAAGATAAGCATCTCTCTGAAAATGGGGAATGGAAAACTATAACGAAATTTACTTTTCGTAACATGACATCGTCATTATTATCATTATCATCAGTAACAGGAGAGTTTTTCAGAGGAACAAAAACAATGTTCAAGAAATGAGTAAGTATATACACGGGAGGAACACAAAGAAAGAGAAAGTCGTCCATCTGCAAGACTTGGAAGTAAAACCGCACCAAGTGTCAACAGCTGCAGTCTTTTTAAAAACCCCCAGCAACAAATGTATTTTCATTTTGTTGTGTACATTCGGAGCCATTGGGGAAAAAGTGGAACAGCTGATTTTCCTTGATGGAATCATCGATTTTTCCTCCCTTTGAAGCATTCGTTTCAACCCTCCTCTCTCTCTCTCTCTCTCTCTTTCGTTTCCCAGGCCGAACCAACAGAAAAAAAGGAAGAATCCGACGCCAACCGTAATAAAAATTCCAATTAACCCAAAACTACCTGAACCTGAAATCCTTTTTCAAAAAAAAACTCAACCTCTATGCCTAATTCTCAAGAACAAAAAGTTAGGCTAGGTTAGTTAGAATAGTTTCCAGAAACTTAAATGTCAAATAAGTTGAGATAGGTTATGTTTCAGAAATGATACACAAAAATAATTATTCTGTGTCACAAATACAAAGACCTTGGCAAGTCGACAGGCACGTCAAGAACGTGCGACGACCCGAATCCCACAGAGGGGATCCACCCCTCTTTTTTCAACTCTCACTTCTACTCTCTCTCTCTCTCTCTCTACTTCTAAGATTATTATTAAAAATAAACTCACCTTTTTCTTCCCGTCGAAAATCTCTTCTTTCACTGACAGTATTTCTTCAATTCACTGAAACACAAGAAAAAAAAACCCCTCAAAGTAGAGGTTTTTTTTTCAATATATATAACACCTCGAAACAACAAGAACAGGACACAGCTGAGAGTGTCCCGTCAGTTTTATGTAAGTGACATAATCAAGAAATAACTTCAACTGACATTATGCGCGCACACACGACAAGTTGTTAAATTAAAAATTATTTTCCCAAATTAACGCACTATCACCGCACTGTTTGAAAATAAAACTCCCGATATTTAATCCCTGGCCTGGCCTACCCCATCGACGACAACAACAAATATGGCGAGCGATCCTCCTCCTGAACCTTAGGTAGGAGATCGACTGACGTGCAATATCGCCAGGCGGCGCCACTGTTACAACTCAATGTTATTCCCCACTTTTTTTCAAGCTACCTAGAATACCTAGACACACTGGACACCTACTAGAGTTTTCCAAGTATTGTGCTTGCTATTGGTTCATGACGAAAATTTCCAACGCGTACATACAACGCTATCTTCATGTTTTATATGGAAACCCCCCATTGAGAATCGATTAATCGCGTAAATTTTCAATTCAAAGAAACTCCCCTATTTTCGCCCTTCGTTTTTTTTTTTTTTTTTTGCTATCACAAGAAACGCCATTTTTAAAAGCCCAATAGTGGCAGCACTTGCTAAACATTACGAATTTATCGATTTTACACATTTCTAGGAAAAATTTTGTACACTAAAAAAAGGTCATTCTGTCTAATTCCTAAAAGTGGGAAATTTAACTGTAAACGTAGTTTCATGCTAAACAGGTAAAATTTCCTTTGGAAACTTCTTTTTTTTAATATATTTCTAATTTTCAAAGTAGAGAAGTTACCATTTCGGGTACAGTAGAGTCGAAGTCATCTTTGCAAACTGCTGTACAAAAATAAACTGCTTTAGCAAAAAAAACTACCGAACACTAAAATTTACACATTACGAACTGTAAAATAAATAATAAAATAATAAATGAAAAATATTTCCACAAAGTAAAAACAAAAAATTGAAAAAAAATTACCGACTGTGATATAGATAGTAGTTTACTAGAACTGCCACTAGAGGCGCTGTGACACTTTTTCTCCTAACATATAGAAGAGCAGATATCTGATTATGTTGTCTTGAGCAGGGAGTAATTGTCAAAAATTTCGATTTAATTTAAAATTTTAAAATGTTGTTGTCTCGGGGTAAACAACTGGTACAATGTGTGGCACAAACAACACTGAAGAGAAATCGACTTGTCAATAAACCACAAGTGAGGAAAGCAAGTGACTGGGATGGACCGTAAGTAAATTACATAATTTTTTTAGGTTATAACGTTTGTTCTATAATATTTTTTTTTCTTTTTTCTTGCAAAACTATTTTCATTCTAAATGGTGAATAAAAAAATAATCAGAACTCGAAACAGTGAAAGTATTTCAAAATACGGACTTTACGGACCAAAAATTAAAAATTACGGACTAATTATAACTGACAACAAATATAAAAATATTTGCATAATCCGAGGCAAATAAGAGAACATTTTACTTCAAAACTATAAATTAAATTTTTTCATAACTATAAAACATGAAGAAAACTGATTGATTTCTTCATTTTTTATAATCATTAAAGATGACCGAGTGATAAAATCATTATTTTATATTATAAGAGAATAATTACTGTAACTTTTTCAAAATTATTTTATTATTTCATTATTATTTCATTTCAATTAAATTATTATTTTCAAGGATTTTTAACTAAAATTCTTCTATAAATCAATTGTTTTTTATAATTTTCGAAAAAGTTCTTTGACAATTTTCAAGTTCATTTGTTTACAATATTCAATATTCGGAAATTTCAATTATTCAATTATTTCTTAAAATTCACGTTACATTGCTTTTAATATTCAATTACTATCTAAAATTTTAACTGAAATTCATTTTTAAATAAATTTTTATTAGAAAATTCGACTAAAATTCAATTATTTAAATATAAAAATAAATAATTTATTAATTGAATGATTCTTAAAATTCAATTGTCATAAAGAATTTTATCAACAAATTTTTAAATAATTGAATTTTGTTGACGAATTTTCATAAAAGTTTTAAGAATAATTACATTTTTCGAGGAATTCAATTAAAATTATATTAAAAATAATTAAAATTCTACGACGTGTTTTGTTATTTATGAAAATAATTCAATTCCTGCAAAGAATTTCGGTATTTATAAAAATAATTGAATTCTTGTCCAAAATTCGATTAAAATTTATAAAAATAATTGAATTCTTGTCCAAAATTCGATTAAAATTTTTAAAAATAATCGAATTCCTACAAAGAATCGTTTTCATAAATAACAAAATTCTTTAAATTCTTAAATATTATTAGATTTAAAAAAAATTGAATTTCTCCAAAGAATTTTCGTATTTATGAAAATAATTGAATTCTTGCAACCGATTTTATTAAATATGTTAAAAAATTTTTACAAGAATTTTGTTATTTATAGAAAATAATTGAATTCTTACAAAGAATTTTTTTTAAATATTTGAAAATAATTGAATTCCTGTGAAAAATTCTAATATTTTTCTAAATAATTAAATTTCTCCAAAGAATTTACAAATGTTTTATAATTTTCTTCGCAATCATTCAATTATTTTCACAAATAATAAAATTTTTACAGGGATTCAATTATTTTCGTAAATAATAAAATTCTTTTTAGGAATTCAATTATTTAAATACAAAAATAAATAATTTATTGAATAATTGAATGTTTATTAAAATTGAATTCTCATAAAGAATTTTATTAACAAATTTTAAAATAATTGATAAAATTATTTTTAACGTAATTTTTAGTTAAAAATTCAATGGTCATAAAATAAAATCAGTTAGAAAATATTGTGACCCATTTTGAATTTTTCAATTTATTAAAAATTGTCTGATTTTATTATTATATCAATTTTTTGTTGTTTGTCAATTTCTTTGTCGGATTTAAAAACATTTTCTATAAAATTACAAATGCATTTCAAAATCGACAAATTTTTGAGAAAAACAATAATTCAAAAAGGATTAAAACGAATTTTTGGACCGATTTTATTTTTTGACCATTGAATTCATGTTAAAAATTTTCTATAAAAACAATTTTATGGAATATTTAAATTATGATTAAATTTTTAAATTAAATTAAATATTATTAAATTGTACGGAAAGAGAATATATTATTATTAAATTTTGTAAAAGTGTTTTACAATTTGTCGAAAAAGTGCAACAAAGCAAATATTAAAATTTACTGTATTTCGTGTAATTTTTTTTTAAAGTTTAGTATTTTTTATATTAAAATTTCGCTTTGTCGCATTTTTTTCCCATATTCTAAATTTTCAGGATTTAAAAAAAAAAATTTTTTTTTTCATTGTCTTTCATTAATTAAATTTTGATAAAATGTTTCGAAGAGTAAATTAAGCTATCGTTTATAAATATTGAATAATAGTTACAATTGTTTTTTAAAATGTTAATAAATATAGAACAATTATTAATTTTAATAATTAATATTGTTACTATTATTCATTATTGTAATTAATATTCATTAAAAAAAAATCTCAAATTATTCCTTATTGTTATTATTGTAGTTCTTGAAAGTAACATCAATTAATAGTAATTAAATTTAATTTATAATTTTAATTATCAACTCCATTTTAGCGCTGAAAATAACTTTTTAATTTTGAAGTTATATCTGGAGGTTGAACCTCCTCAAACCTTATAGATTCCAGTCAAAGGTAAAAAAAAATTTTAGAAATTGTTTTTTAAAAATAACCCCTGCATTTATTTTGATAAATGTTTCGAATTTTAATAGAACTGAGTGAGGAAAAGGAAATTTTTTTTGTCCACTGCAGCTGATCACCGAGAGCATCGCCATTATTTCAAATATTTTATTTTTTTATTCTTATTTTTATAGATGGATGTATAGAGAACCTGGTAAACCTGCAAGAACTGCTTATATAACTGCTGAAGTTGGTGGAGGATTTGCAATTTGGTGGATTCTTTGGCATTGTTGGCACGATTGGCACCATTTAGTGGTATTTATCCATTTTTTCACTACAAAGCTGAACTAACCAAAAAAAAAGCAAAAATTTACTTCTATATTTTCTGCCCACAGGGATACGATCTTCCTAAACACGAAAATTTCACAGATTCTGAACTTGGAATTCCACCAGATGACGCAGTCTGTTAATAAATTTAAAAAAGAACTATGTAGATATTTTAGGAAAAACAAAATCTTTTTTTTTTTTTAAATAGTGGTTCGTTTGAAAACACTTCATCTAAAATGTCTCAAAATTTTCCTAAAAATACTTAATAAACATATTAAATATTTTCACTAACGAATTTCTTTCAAAAGCAGTGTACGATTTAAATTTAAAAATAATTCCAAAAGTTTGCTCTATTATTTATTGATAAAATATAGTATAATTGTAATTTTATTCAGAAATATAATTTCGTTGATAAAAAAAAAAAATTTATTCAAGGCATTTTAATGTTGATTGTTTTGACTTCAAGATATTGTTTCAAGCCCTCTTCTCCACTGAAAGTGTAAATCAAAAGCATTTAAGCAAATTAATGATTTAAGAAAATATTTAATCTTTAATAAGTTGTCAAAATTCACGAATTACTCACAGTTCACGACCAATGCCTGATAATTTGTAACCTCCAAATGGTGTTTGGGGCGTAATGGCATCGTAACAATTAACCCTGATAAAATTTCATGATTGTTAATATTTTATGTTAATTGTTAATATTTTAGAAAAACTATTCAGTTGGAAACAACTTATTCGGATTGTGAATGTTCTTATTGGTTCTTAACGCGCAGACTCGAAACGCCCCCTTTTAACTATTGGCTGTCTTTCAAGGTCATGAGACTGTGATTGGTTCTCATAGTCCTGACCTTGAAAGGCAGCCAATAGCGCGAGGGAGGCGTTTCTATTGTGGTACTAGGGACACAAATAGGCTATTTTTACATCAAGAATTAAATAGTTATTATCGTATCAAGGGCGCAAAATAGGTGATTGGGACGATGGCGAGATGAAGGGACCGAGGGGACATTTTCGCGCCCGAGGCGAAGCCGAGGGTGCGAAAGTGTCCCCGAGGTCCCGAAATCTCGCCGAAGTCGTAATCACCTTTGCGCCCATGTTGCGAACATAATTTTTTGTCCTAACTGCATGAAAAGTATGGCATTGAGGACACGAGCGAAGCGGGCGCAAAAGTACAGCAAGCGGGCGTAAAAGTAATTTTGCGCCCGCTCGGGCTAGATGAAGCGGGCGTAAAAGTACTTTTGCGCCCGCTTGTGTGACGTCAGCGGGCGTAAAAGAACTTTTGCGCCCGCTTCCCCGACCCCGGGCGAGAATCAGTTACTTTGCGCCCACTTTAAGTGCCCGAAATGACATACTTTTCGTGCAGGTAGGACAAAAAATTGTTTTTATAATGGATTCAAAATTAGAAAATACATCTTACCAAACACTGCCAGCTTCGACTGATTGAGCAAAAGTCAAAGCTTTATTAATGTCCTTCGTAATCACTCCAGCGGCAAGACCATATTTTGTTCGATTCGCACGTTCAATAACTTCCTCCAATGTTTCGAATTTCAAAATACTCTGCACTGGTCCAAATATTTCCTCCTTGGCAATTCTCATTTCATCAGTGACATTAGAGAAGACCGTTGGCTGTTGGATTCGTTAATAATTTCAATTATTAATACAGTTAATTAATTACTACTAAATAATTAATACTACTAGTTGATTATTTAGTAAATTAATTAATTATTTAGTAGTAATTAATATTAATTGTGAATCTTAATTTTTGATTTAACTTAATTATTCTTGCAAACCTCAATGAAAAATCCAGCATTGCCAACGCGTTTTCCTCCAGTTTCAACTTTTGCCTTGGCATCAATTCCGGATTTAATCAAGCCCATAACTTTTTCGAACATGTCACGATCAACTTGAGGTCCCTGATCAGTATCAGACTTAAATGGATCGCCAACTTTTCTTCTTTGTGCCAACTGCTTTGCTCGCTTTACAAACTCATCGTAAACTTTTGCTTGTACAAAAGTTCGTGAACCGGCACAACAACTTTGTCCATGATTGTCAAAGAGAGCATTGTAGGCAATTTCTGCCGCCTCATCAACTGAATTCGAAAAAAAAATTTTATTTTTGATTAATTTTTATATATTTATTGGCTAAAATGAAATTCTAAATTTTACTCACGATCAGCGTCATCGAATATAACGAGAGGACTCTTGCCACCGAGTTCAAGACTAACTCGTTTTAAATTACTCTTCGCGGATGCAGCCATAATACGATGACCAACCTTTGGGTGAAAAAAAAAAATTTGGGTTTGAAAAATAGAAAAATTTGATTAAAGGAATTTGATCTCTTACATCTGTAGATCCAGTGAAGGCGACTTTATTAATATCGGGATGTTCTGAAATTGCAGCACCAGCTGTTGGACCATAACCAGGAATGACATTTACAACTCCAGCTGGGAATCCTGATTCTTTGATCAATGATGCTAGATAAAGAGCGCTTAGTGGCGTTTGTTCGGCTGGTTTCAAAATAATAGTGCAACCGGTACACAATGCTGGACCCAATTTCCAAGAAGCCATTGCAATTGGATAATTCCATGGGATTATTTGTCCGACAATGCCAACTGGTTCTTTTCTAGTTAGAGCAAAATTGTTTCCATCTAAAGCAGAGAGAGAGGAATGGAAAATTCATAAGCAAACTGCAAGTGTTGATTAACTACCGAGGTTTGGATTTCGAAACAGAACCAAATTCCGATTTTAATTCTAATAATTGAATTTGTAAGTTCAGCATAGCTTTAAGGGCAAACTGTAACTGATCACACAGTACCGAAAATTTCCCGAAAGTTAAAAATAAGCTTGACTACAACCTTCGAAATCTTTAGTGCAAAGCTCATGAAACTTAAAATTTTTTTTTAAATACCGGATGTTCAGTCAACTTTCGAGTTAATTTTAGCTTCATATCTTACCAACAGGAATTGTGCTTCCATGAATTTTATCACACCATCCAGCATAGTAACGAATTGTTGCGACACTTGCACTTACATCGCCCAATGCACTTGTGAATGTCTTTCCACAATCTAATGTTTCTATGTTGGCCAAATAAGTTGCATCTCGTTCCATTAAGTCAGCAAACTGAAAATTAATTTAATTTGCAGCGAACAGCGAACAGGAATTCAAAAAAATCAAAACAAAGAACATCTAACAAAAAGCAAATAAGAATCTGTAACAAAAAAACTGTTTTTTTACGACCTATTCCTTTTTTTTCATCATTTTACCTTGTTCATTAATTTTGCACGTCCAGAAGCATCCATTTTCCTCCATTCCGATCCTCGTGCAAATGCTTTTTTTGCAGCGGCAACAGCACGATCAACATCCGCCTTTAAAAATTCTTTTTTTGTAATATTATCTTTTAAAATTTGTACTTTCAATTTTAAATTTTTCAAATTTTCAAATATTTTTATTTCAATTCATGAACCATAAATACCTTATCACCTTCCGCAACTTCAATGATAACTTTCTCCGTTACCGGACTTATTGTCGGGAATTTCTTCCCACTGACTGAATCCACAAATTCATTATTGATAAACAACTGGAAAAAAATAGAAAATTAAGAATAAATAAATAAGACCATTTCTCTTAATTGTTGGATTTTTAAAAGAATTCTGAAATTTAATATTCCCTTATAGTAAAAATTCAAAAAAAGAAACCAAATTGTACCACTTTGTTTCTATTCTATAGATAAATTTTGTTTAATGCAATTCAGTTCAATTATTGTTTTCAATGTTTCGACCTTCAAACTATTTGAGAATACTTATCCTTTTAAATTTCACCCGTAATCCAACTCATAAATTGCACGTAGACATTCAATTATATCATATTCCACTATCAAAAGTTTATATATAGAAGTTAGTGATAAAAAAAAGATGCAAAATATTTCTCTCAAGTGTTTTCAAGTTCGTGGTTAAATTGATATGAAAAAATCTACACTTATCACTATTTTTTATGAAAGTATTTTTTTAAAAATAATTATTCTGTAGAATTATGAAAAATTAACAATAATTTTGTTTTATCTTAATGCACCTATTCACGTATACGTTAACAATTTTTTTATTTAATTCTAAGTAAACAAATTTAGAATTTCGGAAAATTAATAATTTTATTTTATCCTAATGCATTTTTTTACCTATACGTTAACAATTTTTTTTGTATTTAATTCTAAATAAATGAATTCAGAAAATATTTACTAAATAAATAAATTTGTAATTACAAGAATTCTTATTAAAATTACTCTCTAAATCTGAATATGTGAAATTTCACTTATTGTACGTTATAAGTCGTCCTCTCGATCAATAAGTGTATATGCACTTATTGATCGAGAAGACGACTTATAACGTACAAATATGTGAATTTTCACATATTCAGATTTAGAGAGTAATAACAAATGTTATTTATTTTCCATTACAGAAACAAAATGTTAATCATATTTTCAAGTTTGTGGTTAAATTGATATGGAAAAAACTACACTTATCACTACTTTTTATAAAAGCATTTTTTTTTTTTAATAATTATTCTGCAGAATTATGAAAAATTAACAATAATTTTGTTTTATCTTAATGCAATTATTCACGTGAACATTAACAATTTTTTTTTCTTTAATTCTAAATAAACAAATTTAGAACTACGGAAAATTATTAATTTTTTTTTATCTTAATGCATTTTTTTATAAGTTAACAAGTTTTTTTTTATTTAATTCTAAATAAATGAATTCAGAAAATATTTATTAAATAAATAAATTTGGAATTACAAGAATTCTTTCATAAATTAATAACAATTAGTATGATTTTAAGTAATAATAAATGTTATTAATGAATTTTTTTTTAAGTTAACAAATTTTTCTTTTTATTTAATTGTAAATAAATTAATTCAGAAAATATTTATTAAATAAATAAATTAATTCAGAAAATATTTATTAAATAAATAAATTTGGAATCACAAGAATTCTTTCATAAATTAATAACAATTTGTATGATTTTAATTAATAACAAATGTTATTTATTTTTCAATACAGAAACAAAATGTCAATCATATTTTCAAGTTCGTGGTAAAATTGATATGAAAAAATGGCTTTTTATAAAAGCATTTTTTTTTTTTTTTTAATAATTATTCTGTAGAATTATAAAAAATTAACAATAATTGAGCTCCCGCGGGCAATAACTCGATCTGCGCTTGAACTGAAAAATCCAAGCCAGTCAAGCCGTCAAAAAATGAAAAAAAATGAAAGTCGGAATTTTTAATTTTACAACATACTACCGTATAGAGCATAAAAATGCGCAACTTTTTTGTCTTTGAAATTTTTTTGTAGGACTTTTATTTTTAATAATAATGGAAAAAACTGAATTTTTTTTATTCTTCAATTTCAATGAAATTCAAAACATAAATCGACTTTTCTCAAACAAATCTGCATGAAATTAATTAAAAATTGATATACTTACGTATCAGGGTCTACTGAAGACGATAAAATGATTAAAACATTTTAAAAAATTAATTGTAAAATTATTTGTTAATGTAAATAAAGACCTGTCGGTAAATACGTTTTCTCAACTTTGAAGAGAAAAAGTATGCGGTGAACTTTCGAGTTGACAAAACTTCCAGTGAGACATTTGTTTATTAACATGTCAAGAAGTTTTTTGGAAATTTTTATTTAAATCGAATGAAAAATAAACAAGATACATAATGTTTAAAAAAATATGCGTCGCGCGGCGTTTTGACATTTTGACGCGAAAGCTTTACGATAGGAGGAAATTATTGGTAACTATTGCTATTTTCTGTTGATTTATTTAAAAAATAATTTTATTATTAATATATCTGACTTTTTAAAATATATACATAACTTAAATTCTTTTGTTCTTAAAAATTTGTTAATACTGTTTGGTTTTTCAAACCAGATTAAAACATTAAATAATAAATAAAAGTGTTACACAGAGAAAACATACTCGATTCAAGTAAAAAAATAATTTTAATTGATTTTGTTTAATTTAAATTAGTTTGTAAGCTTAATCCTAATATATAGAAAATATCTACTGCTTTGATTCAAAAATAATATTTGTTTGAATAATTATGTTTAATTTTAATTCAAATATATTTTTTGTTTTGGTTTAAACAAAAAATACCTACGTTTAAAAATTTTATGTTTGATTTAAACTTAAAAGTTGATTATAAATAATTTAAAATCAACCATAAATTAAATATATTATTTTTATAAATGAACCAAAAAATATGTTTGAATTAAACTCACATTTATTTGACTGTAAAGCAAAAATATTTTAAGTTTGATTTAAAAGAAATTTGATTGAATTAAATAAATTGTTTTCTCAGTGTATTCTTAATCTGATTGTTTTACTTTTTTGGTCGTTTTCTTGAAGCACCTTGCACACACTCTACTTCTGACATTATTTAAATTTTTTTTATTAATTTACAATTAATTTTCAATTTTAAAACACATGGATTATTAAAAAAACTTAACGACAGGAATAAAGTAAACTGTATTTTCTTCAAAAAAATACAAGGACCTGCTATGTTTAAATTAATGCACAGTATATAGTGCATCAAAACAATCTTAACCTTGGATTGAGTTAAAAGTTGGAAATAAGATTCAAAAAACGTAAAAAGCTGCCTATCATATATAAATGTATAGAATTGGTTTTATTTTAAATACAATACATGCATAAAATTATTTTTTAAATAAATCAACAGAAAATAGCAATAGTTACCAATAATTTCCTCCTATCGTAAAGCTTTCGCGTCAAAATGTCAAAACGCCGCGCGACGCATATTTTTTTAAACATTATGTATCTTGTTTATTTTTCATTCGATTTAAATAAAAATTTCCAAAAAACTTCTTGACATGTTAATAAACAAATGTCTCACTGGAAGTTTTGTCAACTCGAAAGTTCACCGCATACTTTTTCTCTTCAAAGTTGAGAAAACGTATTTACCGACAGGTCTTTATTTACATTAACAAATAATTTTACAATTAATTTTTTAAAATGTTTTAATCATTTTATCGTCTTCAGTAGACCCTGATACGTAAGTATATCAATTTTTAATTAATTTCATGCAGATTTGTTTGAGAAAAGTCGATTTATGTTTTGAAATTCATTGAAATTGAAGAATAAAAAAAATTCAGTTTTTTCCATTATTATTAAAAATAAAAGTCCTACAAAAAAATTTTAAAGACAAAAAAGTTGCGCATTTTTATGCTCTATACGGTAGTATGTTTTAAAATTAAAAATTCCGACTTTTATTTTTTTTCATTTGTTGACGGCTTGACTGGCTTGAATTTTTCAGTTCAAGCGCAGATCGAGTTATTGCCCGCGGGAGCTCAATTTCATTTTATCTTAATGCATTTATTCACTTACAAATTTTAATAACAAATTTTCTTTTATTTATTTCTAAGTAAACAAATTTAGAATTACGAAAAAATAATAATTCTATTTTATCTTAATGCATTTTTTCTACTTATACGTTAATAATTCTTTTGGGATTTAATTCTAAATAAATTAATTTAGAATATATTTATTAAATAAATAAATTTTATTACAAGAATTCTTTCATTATATAAATATGATTTATTTTTCATTACAGAAACAAAATGTTAATCATATTTGCTACATAACTATAATTGTCCATGTCAGAAGATAAATATTCTAAAAAATACTAATAAGATCTAAAAATTTCAATGATTTTAAATATTCTAATATCTACATAATATCTAAAATAATATCTAAATAATATCTAAAATAATAATATCTAAATAATATCTAAACTAATATCTAAAAATGCCAACGATTTTAATAGTACGATTAATACTATAATACGAGTAATTAAATATTTTTTTAATTCTGCATTTTTTTATTATAAATAATAAGTATCGATAAATTATGAATTTTAATTAGCAATTCTTCAAAATGATTTTGCAAAATTTAATCAGTTGGCAATTTTTTCAGAAAGGTTAATATTAAAAAAGCAATGTTACCAAAAAAAAAATATTTTACCCACTTTTCTTTTATTTTGCAAAAATATGGATTCCTTTTTTGCCAAAAATAATTTTTTTTTTCTTGATAAATATTTTTAGATGTCAAAAAATTCATATATAGTTTTAAAATAACTTACTTTTGTATATTTTATGGTGGGATTTGGATTTGCCATAATTTTAGCTTTTCTCTATACTCTTTATCAGTGAATAATAAATGTACAGTGATAATTGCCGAAAGAAAGGCTGTTACGGAATTGCAAGCAAATGTTTCCAAGCCGGTCTTCGGTTTCACTTTAATAACACGACTATCGCAACAAATGTTTATAAAAGCATTTGCTATATTACGAATACCGTGCAGATGTCGCTTCAGAGCTGATGTGAATATCCTATACATCCTATATAATACTATGCATGAATATGACATAATATATATCTGTCATGTACCAGAGTGATTAATGATTGAATACTGAGAAATATAAAAGTTTTTTTAAAATTAATTATACTATAAATATTTTTTGATTTTTCTAAAATGTTAAGAATGACATTTTTCATTTTAAAATTTAAAGTAATTTGGTAAAATAATAACAATTTATTTAATTTTTTTTTTTTTTTTTTTTTTTTTTTTTTTTTTTTTTTTTATTTAATATGCTTATTGTTATTATTATAATTATTTATATCTTTTGAACAAAAGTAAAATACCAATTTTTTCTTTTTGGTAATAACTTGGGCATTAAATAAGGAACAATATTTAATTTTGAAAAATAAAATAACAGATCGAAAAATTTAATTTATTTTTATTTGTTTAAATAAAATGTTTATAATTTTGTCAAATTACGTTAAATTTAAAAATGAAAAATGTGAATCAAAAACCGTGTTATTTTTATGTAATCATACCAAAATCATTAAATTTTACCTATTAGTTTATTAAACTGTATTTTTTATTTATTATTTCAAACAGAAAAACATAAATTTCATGAAAAAATCTTGACTAACTGAAAATTAGTTGCCCACTTCCCGAATTCTGACTCTAATAATCATGATAGTAAATAATAATAATAAATTATAATAAAAGTTTTTTTTACAAACAAACCTCGAGGATTAGATTGGAAAAATTGGAAGTGTTTTTAAAAAAATAGATAACTAAAAATATCTGTAGTTTTAAATGTTTCTTTTTATTATATAAAAATATTAAATTTGTATAAAACATTTCGATTGACAATTTAAGAAAACACCAATAAGAATTAAGACCAATTTACATGTGAAACAAAACCTTTTTCTTTTTAAATAACGCACATGTTTCACTGAACAGAAAATGATGAAGAAAAATATGATGAATATAAATTTCAAATAGAAATAACAAAACTAAACTTAGTTTATAATTAAAAGAACACAAACATAGGGATAAATAATTATATTAACGCTTAAATATATTTCTATTTTGATTCGTATCCTTAATAATCACAGTAATCATCACTTGTTCGTAGGGAATGTAGAATTATAATTTTTATGTAATTCCTTCCATTTTTTTTTTTTTTTGAAAAGTACTTCTCTTAATCTCGAATATGAAGAAATTATATTGAAATGTAGACGCTGAAAGAAAAATAAAGATAAATGTCGTATTTTATAAAATTAACACTAGTAAATAATTAATGTGTTTTGAACTTTAGGATAAAAAGCAAAAAAAAAAATATTTTCTCCAACGCCTGCTCTGAAAGGAGTACTTTTCAGGTTAAAAAAAACCGTGGCGAAAGTTCTCGCAAGGCATTGAAGAAAAAATAAATTATATTGTAATTGAAAATTCGGATGCAATGACCACTTCGATTCCGTTTCCCCCACCCTGTTTATCGGCGACTTAAATAGACTCCCCACTCGGGATTTCCTTCAGTAGCTGCCGAGCGCTGCCCATTGTCACATCGCTGCCAGTTTCCCCCCACTTCACCTACAGGTTACTTAAATAAACCCCCCACTTAGCATTGCCTTCAGTTGCTGTCTGTCGCTACTCCGGTAAACATATGTACCCGTCCCCCCTCTTTTTTTCTCCTGGCTACTTAAATAGGCTCCCCACTTAGTATTTATTCCTGTGAATACCTCCAGCCTTTACCCCTCTTTTTCCTCCTGGTTATTTTAAATAGCGTCCCATTTAACATTTCCTTCAATTGCTGTCAATTTATTTTGGGACAATGTGAATCGTCACGCCATCTGTCGGAATTGTCCCTGAATTGTGATCGTTAATTAGTAGGATAAGCCAGAGTTGCCGGGTGACCCACTAGTCACAGTGAAAGTGTGTCATCCGCCAAAGTAGTAGTCAAGAAAGTGACATTACAAACTTATTAAAAATTAGTAGAAGAAAAATTAAATGTGGTGTTTTTGGTCATTTACATTTCCGCATGTCAAATTGTTCAGAAAGAATTTCCTCTGAAGAAAAAGAGAATCTTAGACATGTTAGATTTCCCCTAATTTAGTTTAGAATAATTATTTTTGCCCCAAAATTTTGTTAAAAGAACTTAAGAAACAAGAGTAAAAATACTGATTAATTCGTGCTAGGCAAGAACTGCCAACTAGCATAAATATATTTAGGAAATGTTCAGTTTTTCATGCCCCTACCTCCCCTTATCCCTAAAATGTTCCATAGAATTGAGTTGGTCATTGGATCCCAATAATCAGTTGCAGACTACTCTAAACGTTCAGTCAAGAAATACCTATTAATCACCTTCATCCCGTTTCTCGTAAAGGATTGAATTGAGTCTCTATTTGAACAGAGTCATTGCTTTCGTCATTGCTTTACTAAAATTACTACACCTCATAGACTCTATCACTTTCATAGCAAAGGCATTTGCTCGAATTAGAACAGGATCCCATTGATTAGTGTCTTCAATTATTAATTGAAATCGTTTGCAATAATAAGTCTTCATTGTCTCATCGATAGATGAAGGGGAATTGATGTTCTTTAGAATATAATACACAATTTTACTAGGTCTTGTGCGTCTTCCATTTTTCCAATGAATTAGAAGATCATTTTGATAAGCAATAAATACAACGAGGTGAAAGATTTCCTTTACCATTCCTTTGGGTAGTACTCGCACAATCAATGGTGAATTAATGGCTTTTGGAATTCCTGTAAATGGTGGTAGCATAATATCGAGAGGATAAAGTTCAGTGCCTATTCCTGAGAGAAAATACGTAACAGTTGTAAAATGAAATGTTGCTGCAATTTCCATTGGTGTTAAATCATATTCATTATTCGATGACTTCGAATTCGTTCTCTTAAGACATGATACACATTCTTTTGTATCTGATAAATGATTTCCTTGCAAGAATTGACGAACTTTACTAAAGCAATCTTCCACCATAGCTATCATCTTAGGATTACTTGTTGGTACAACATTTGAATCAGAATTTGGTAATTCAGTTTCATTCTGGTAGTTATTGTACAAAGATTTCATAATGGAAATTTCGTCAATATTTATAAATTCTCGATAATCGTAGATTGAAGTACAAACGCTACTACGGATTTTTATTAATCTTTTAAAATCGTAATTATCGATTAAATATAACAAGTCGACAACGTAATTATGTTCATACATATTTTTGACGCGCCTTCTTTTCATACCAACGACTTCATTGAATATTTTTGACAAATCATCAAATATCATTGACACTGTAAAGAAATTATAATAAGATACAGAATTAAATACAAACCCCCATCTTTGAGGAAGCAAAATAGGAAATTTTGTAACGTTAAGAACAAAAAATAGTTTTTATTATGTAAAAAAATAATACCTTCTGCACTTGCTGAATTTATTTCCTCCTTTTGAACCTGAAGTTCTTGCTGAGTTGATTCCTCCATAATCTTTCACTCCTACAATAATGCTATATTTTTAAAAATATATATCCTTATGCTCCTGAGTTTAATAACTTTTTCCTTTTTAAATATTTTTTTTTAATCATTTGTTAATACACAACTTTTTTAGTTATTTTTTTTTTTGCTAAATTCTGAAATTCGTTCCATCACAGCAGCTGCTAGAAACAGAAGAGACATATAAAACAAAACTAAGTAAGTCTTACTAGCTAAGACCTCAGAGCACCATGCAGAATCCTGAGTAGTGGACGTGCTGCAATACTTCTCCGCAATATTCACAATATTGTCGAGAAATATTGCTCACAGCGCACTAAAGATGATACGAATAGTACTGCAGCAATACTGTTCTGAAATATTCGCAATAATTCTGAGCAGTAATGTCAGATTTAGCTCCACAATAAATCCTAATTTAAAAACCATTAGGAATTACAAAGTGTTCTTCGGACGCCTTCGTCCCGGTTCTAACAATCGTTCATAGTTTTGCACCACCAGTTGGAAATACGATCTTATTTTTGGGCTAGTGTAGTAGACGGGAAGAAATACAAACAGTATGATGCGAGTCAGGGCAATTGAAAATCTCTTTTCAGTAATGCTTAAGGAATAGACAACCATAGCTACAATGAAGACCAACTTGCTAACCTGCTACTCACTAATGAATACTAAGACAAGGTAAATCACAAAGACCCTATCAGAATTATAACTATTACAATGATTTTATTAAGACTTATTAAGATTTATTACAGACTGACAAATACAGAGACAGAGTAACTCGCAAAGGCTCCATCAGAATTATAACTATTACAATGATGTTCTACAGATTCATGAATGCAGAGACAGAGTGAATCAGAAAACCCCCTTTAGTATTATAACTATTACAATGATTTGCTACAGACTGACTAGTACAGAGATAGATTATCGGCTGTGGTTACATTTATGAATTGTGAATTAAATTAATTTTGATGACCCAGATATTAATTGGAATTGTTCTAGCAATAGATTCGGACCAGTAAAAAATTTGAGTATTAAAATTGTTAGTAAACAAAAGTTAAAATTCCCTCAAAATTTAATTTTTCATCTTCTGCTGATTATCGGCTGTGGTTACTTTTTATGAATTGTGAATTCAATAATTTAGATGACCCAGACATTAATTGGAATTATTCTAGCAATAGTTTGGGACCAGCAAACAATTTTGGTACTAAAAATTGTTAGTAAACAAAAGTTAAAATTCCCTCAAAATTTAATTTTTCATCTTCTGCTGATTATCGGCTGTGGTTACTTTTTATAAATTGTGAATTAAATTAGTTTTAATGACCCAGATATTAATTGGAATTGTTCTAGTAATAGATTCGGACCAGTAAAAAATTCGAGTACTAAAAATTGTTAGTAAACAAAAGTTAAAATTCGCTCAAAATTTAATTTTTCATCTTCTTCTGATTATCGGCTGTTGTTACTTTTTATGAATTGTGAATTAAATAATTTAGATGACCCAGATATTAATTGGAATTATTCTAGCAATAGTTTGGGACCAGCAAACAATTTTGGTACTAAAAATTGTTAGTAAACAGAAGTTAAAATTCGCTCAAAATTTAATTTTTCATCTTCTGCTGATCATCGGCTGTGGTTACTTTTTATGAATTGTGAATTCAATTAATTTTGATGACCCAAATATTAATTGCAATTATTCTAGCAATAGTTTGGGAGCTGTAGAAAATTTTAGTACTAAAAATTGTTAGTAAACAGAAGTTAAAATTCGCTCAAAATTGAATTAAATTTTGAGAGAATTTTAACTACTGTTTACTAACAATTTTTAGTACTAAAATTGTAATAATAATTAATAGTACCAAACTATTGCTAGAACAATTGCAATTAATATCTGGGTCATCAAAATTAATTTAAATCACAATTCATAAAAAGTAACCACAGCCGATAATCAGCAGAAGATGAAAAATTAAATTTTGAGCGAATTTTAACTTCTGTTTACTAACAATTTTTAGTACTCAAATTTTTTACTGTTCCTAAACTATTTTTAAAAAAATAATATAACCATTTTATATCTTATCAATTATAACAGTTTAAAAAAAGAGCATATATATCTTTTGATAAAGTGCACTTTTTTAAGTTAAGAGAGAAAATGAACATTTTGTTGAGTCACGATTATACTCCATCTCTATCAAATACATTGCAATTTTAAACTTCCATTCTATGAAACGTCATAATTGTAAACTTTTCCAAGGTTCTCAAAACTCGTTTTAATTTATTTTTACTTTATTTGAAATAAAAAGCGGACAGTCATTAAGTAACATTTTTTAAACTACGTTATATGAAGAGCTCTAAAGAGAAGTGGGGGGCAGAAGTTTAAGTAAAATATTTATTCCAATCAGTACTCAACTTCACAGCAAGATATAAGTAACTTAATTTCCAACTTTGAATTAACCAACCTTAATGTAAATAAATTAAAGTAATTCATATTTTTAATTTTCTAGTTCATTAATAAATTAATTTTAATGTTAGTAAATAAATTTAAATAGATAAACTAATTTTAATGTTGATAAATAAATTTTAATAGATAAATTAATTTTAATATTAATAAATAAATTTTAATAGATAAATTAATTTTAATATTAATAAATATATTTTACTAGATAAATCAATTTCAATTTAAATAAACAAATGATTTTTAATACATATAAGTTAATTTTCACTTTTTTCAATTTTCTAAAAATAATTTCTGTAACTGCTTTAATTGTTTTAATTCCGTCTCAATAAAATGATTGGATAAAAATAATAATATTGTTAAATAAAGTTTATGAAGCCGGCGTCTTTAAAGAGTGCATTTAACTCGTCTATTATTTTGAACCTATTGTAGTATAGAACCCCAGTATTATTTTCTAAATTAACATATTAATGAAAGGTTAATGTGAACACTAATAGGGCTTTGCATATAAAATCGATTGATCTTTATAAATAAAAAAAAAATGTTTTGAGTAAACAATAAATTTTAATTTTTTCCCCACTCTTTATTACACACATTATTTAAAACAGATTCTGCGCATCACTTACTTCTAAAATTCTTTGAATTCTGGGGGAAGCAAGAACTATATATAAGATTTTACCGCATACATTGTGCTGCAGAGAATTTACTAGCACGTCAAGTCGTTGTGTTATATTCAAGTTGTTTATTTTCTCACCTGTGGTGTGTATATCAAATTTTTTCAGTGTTGAGTCAAACAAACAGAAAATGACTGATTTCAAGCCTATTACAAATCCGAGTATACAATACACAAAGGTAAGTTTGATTCAATTTTTGTTTAGATAAATTACCTAGAATTAAATTATTCAAAAATTAAATTAGTTAAATTAAAAACTGAAAATTAAATACATTTTTTATCCTACATAATCTTTTAGTTTATTTTTTATCAGTAAATAGAGTTTATAAAAGCGTTCGACTGTATTTTTCAGTCATAAAAATTTTATCTTTTCAAAAAAAAAGAATATTATGAAAAATTTATTTTGTAAAACATTTTCATAAATATCTTAGAAATATTTATATTTACTTTTTTTTCATACATAGAAAGCTATAAATACCCGTACAATTATGGCATACATAATAAGAGGATAGTTATCACAATATAGACATGATAAGAAGGTGAAAGGTTTTAAAACGTAAAAATTAGTTGTTATATTATTGTAATGTTTAACCATCAAATGATAAAGTTAACAAGTTTTTTCAAGGAGTTTTTATAAACATTTTTTGTCAAGAATAGAAAAGATAAAATTTTAAAAATAGAAAAAGGACTAATTTACTTTTCAATTTATTCAATTTATTCAGTTTATTCAATTTACAAAATATAATAATTTTTAAAAATTTTCCATCTAATTTATAATTTACCTAAAATTTATGTTCGTTTTAGATTTTTATTAACAATGAATGGCACAATTCGGTGAGTGGGAAAAAATTTCCAGTCATAAACCCATCGAATGAAAAAGTTATTGCCGATGTGGCCGAAGGAGATAAGGTACAATTTTTTTTTTTTTGCAATTCTTATAATATTCTATAAAATAATATTATTTGATTCAAAGCCCAGACTTTAATTTAAGATCCAAAAAATTAAAGTTTTTGAAGTTTTTTTTTTTTTTTTGATAAAAAACTCTTCCTTTAATCCTATAATTTAAAAAAAATATTTCTAAGTAGTTAAATTTTTTTATTTTGATCTTAAATTAAACTTTTAAAGGTTCAATGATTATGTGGAGAAACTTTTATAATTTTTTTTTTATAACTAAAATTATAAATTCAAACAAAATAACAGCACAATATATTTTATAATTTTTTTCCAAAATTTTCAGAATTATACAAATTTTAGTAAGTTTGATAGGTAATATTTTTTCCATGTGCTTTGATATATGATTTCCTAAATTCTTTATAAATATTTACATCAAATTTTGAAAGTGATGTTATAAAAGAGAAAGATTTGAAATTTTTGACTGCGTTTCAATAATAGTATATAATTAAATTTAAAATTCTTAATATCGAGTTAATGAAATGACATTATACGTGCGTGTCATAGAAAAAAAAATTGCATAATATTTATAAATAACTACGTTTCAAAAAATACTAATTTCATTTTGTAATGTATCCTAATTCAACATATTAAGATGATCTGCAATTATTCAAGCTTACAAAGCATTTATCTCACTTAACTTCAGTTTTTTTCCTAATCGAATTATCACAATAGAATTGTATAATTAAAATAATTTTTTTTTTAAAATAATAGCAAAACCAATAATTAACGTTAGCAAACACTATTTTTCATTCTGTATTTTATTTTACCCTTAATCAACTATTCAAGACGTGAAAAATTATTAAACTTTCAATAAACTATTAGAGAATGATTTTGCAAAAAGAAAAATGAAAAATTTTTGTAGGCGGATATTGATAAAGCAGTGTCAGCTGCCAGAGAAGCATTTTCAAGAGGATCATTATGGAGACAAATGGATGCCTCGGCACGAGGAGTAATTATCAATAAGGTGATGACGTAATATTCATGTATATGTTCACTTTAGTTAATGAGGACATTAATTTACATTGCTATCTTATTAGAATTCTAAAATGCAAGAAGATAAAATTTCCATATAATAATAGAGGATTATGTTAATCTTTTAAAGTTGGCAGATCTAATGGACAAAAATGTCAATGAACTTGCTAGCATACAATCAGTAGAAAATGGAAAACCGTTTTCGAATTCAGTTGATGAAGTTATTAGATCAGCTAAACTTCTTCGATACTTCGCTGGATGCGCTGATAAAATCCATGGAAGCACCTTACCAGCTGGTAATTACAAAAAAAAACTAATTTTTGTATTTAATTTTTGTATCCGGTCAATTAAGTAGGTATTTTATTCCATTTATATCCATCATTTTCAATTTTGAAAATCTGATATTAGTTATCAGAGATCCAAAAAAAAAACCCTCGAGTAACAAGTTTCAAAGCAAATCCGTTGATAAAAATTTGTCTTCCATATTTGATTCACCATTTTGTAATTCTGACAATTCTGAATTGTTGCGACAGATAACAATAATTTTGTAATTTTCTTCATTTGTCTCCACTTGCAATTACAGATGGAGATGTCTTTGCAATGACGAGAAAAGAACCAGTTGGAGTGGTTGGTTCAATAATTCCCTGGAACTATCCGATAACTATGGTGGGCATGAAAATTGGACCGGCTCTGGCAACAGGTTGCACAATGGTTATGAAACCAGCTGAGCAGACACCCTTAACGGCTCTTTATATTGCGAATCTCGCTAAGGAAGCTGGTCTTCCAAAAGGAGTTCTTAACGTTGTTCCTGGTTATGGAATCACTGCCGGTTCAGCATTAGCAGAACATCCTGATGTTAACAAAATCGCTTTCACTGGTTCTGTTAATGTAAGTTCTCCACAATAATATTCTACACTCGATATATAATTACTATTCTCTTCTATAATTTCTATTCTTTTCTGTTATGAATATTCTCTTTTAATAAATAGTACAAATTTAATATCTGGTATTGGTAAAAGAATAAATGATCGATGAAAGAAATTATTATTAGCAAGAGTCGAGATAAGAGACTCAAAAAAAAAGAGTCGGAAGGGAAGGGTTCAAAAAGTGTACGTAGGTGCTGGGAAAGCTTCTTAAAGTAAATCCGCAAGTTAGCCAAACACAATTGGTGGGTATAGTGAGGATTACTATTTCAAAGAATTTGGGAAATTTCCTTTGCAATCATCATAGAGAGTGACTTTGTTAAAAGCCTATTAATTTACCCACAAATAGCAATTCTAGTTGGTACCCAGGGTTATGAAAAAACTGATGCAGATCTGCGGAATTTTGTTTTGTTTCTATTTTAGTTTTTCCTGATGAGGTTGTCTAACCTTAGACACTGAAACCTCGTATTTCTGACGATACACATTAAATTTTATTCAATCATCATCAATTATTCCACCAATACCACAAAAACTATGGAAGAACCTAACAATGACTCACAAACTTTAAATCATTTTCCAAATAATCTAGATTGGCAGAAAAATAATTGAGGCTTCAGCAAAGAGTAATTTAAAGCGCGTTACCCTCGAACTTGGAGGAAAGAGTCCATTGGTGGTTTTTGAAGATGCAGATCGTAAGTATAGAAATTAAATCAAAAAAGAAACTAAATACAAAAAATTAAAACCACCTTTTTTTCAGTTGAACTAGCCGCTACTTATACGTCCTTGGCTTTTCTAAATGCGGGACAAATTTGCTTGGCTCCAACAAGAGTTTACGTTCAAAGTGGTGTCTATGATAAATTTGTCGATATGATCGTGAAAAGGGCAACAAATTTAAAAGTCGGGGGACCATTTGAGACTGATTCTTTTTACGGATCACAAGTAATTATAAATTAATTTAAATCTAAAATATTTTACAAATTTATTTAAATCGTATTTTTATTTGAAATCTCTAAAAAAAATTGTTTTAGATTGATGACAGAATATTTAAGAGAGTAATGAGTTACATTGAACTGGGTAAAAAGGAGGGTGCAAAATTAGAGACCGGTGGACATCGTCATGGCAAATTGGGCTTTTTTGTGCAACCCACGGTTTTTTCGAACGTCAAAGATAGTATGACTATTGCTAAGGAAGAGGTAATTTTTACTATTAGGGTGCTAAGTTTTTCCATATAGCCCAGCTGGTCAATAAAGTGACCATTATAGCCCTAGGGCAATAAAGTGTCCATTATTGCCCTAGGGCAATAATAGGCATTTTATTAACCACCATCCCTTAATTTTTATAGATTTTTGGCCCAGTGCAATCACTTTTAAAATTCGACACCCTAGAGGAAGTTATTGCAAGAGCAAATAATACAACTTACGGATTGGTCGCTGGTGTCTTCACAAAAAATATTGATCAAGCATTGGAATTTTCAAAAGCAGTTGAAGCTGGTACTGTTTGGTAAGTTTGCCAACAGAGCACAATTCAATTACTAATTTCCAACAATTAATTTACAATTATTAACATTCTTTTTTCTTTCACCCATAAATTAAAGGGTCAACCAATGGTTTAATTTATCCGCACAAACTCCATTCGGTGGTTACAAACAATCAGGAATTGGACGAGAAATGTAAGGAAACTTTTAATTTTTTTAAAATTTATTCCTACACTTGGAGAAATATGTTAGCTGTTGATAATATTGTTAAAATTGACAAAAAAATGGTAAAACCTTGTTTATTTAATTTTCTTTTTATGTTACAGAGGAATTGACTCACTTGATCATTACATGGAGGTCAAGACAATTAATATTAAATTACCCACTAATCATTAAATTGAAAAATGAAACAAATTTTAGTAAACATCTAAAACATTTTCGTAAAAGACACAAAATATTGGTGCTTCTCTACAGTATGTACATTAAGAAGAATATTTGTAATTTTTTAGAATAAAACTTTTCATAGTTTACATAGGAATAATAAATTTTTAATTTAGACCTTATTTATTATTATAACAAAAAATATTTAAATACCGAAAATGAAATAAATTACTAAGAAAAAACCTTTATTCCTTAAAAAGATGTTGCAAAAATATGTCAAAAGAGGATTTTCTAGAATTGCGAACATGAATGAGAAACAAAATTCAAACATGGCGGACAAAAGAAAATTTATCGAATTCGTCTGTGAAATAAATATAAAATGCATAAAGTATACTTTTACATTCACATTACAATAGAAAGTATTATTTATTATTTAATTTTTTTATTTATTATATTCATTTATTTTATAAATAAATATTTTATTATATTTTTACATTTTATTATTCATTATATTTATTTATTATTATTATTTTCATTATTCATTTATACTTTCAATTCTATTATTTTAGGAAAATAGGAATGTGAAACGAATTTAAAAATTCAAAATGTCGAATCAAACATGGTGGGCAAAAAAAAAAAGAAATTTGTAGAATTCGTCTCTAAAATAAATATAAAATGTATTTAAAGAATACTTTTACATTCACAATACATCAATAAGTATTATTTATTATACTTTTAATTACGTTATTTTTCGAAAATAGGAAAGAGAAATGAATTTCAAAATTCAAAATGTCGGACAAAGAAAATTTGTAGAATACATCTATAAAATACAAAATTATTTATTGTACCTTAAATTATATTATTATTAAAAAAACAATTAAAAATTTTTTTTTCTCAACCATTTTCAACTGAACATTAATTTCAAAATTTAAATAATATAACTTGGCGCCAAAAAATAAAATTTCTTTTTTCAGAAAATAGAAACAAGATTAATATACCGTTATACTACTGTAAAACAGGTTTTCCATTTACTTGCCTACATCTCTGTATTAAAATTGAGAGGAAAAAAAAAATTTATTTTCCTCAATGAAAACATATTTTTATTATCATAAGTGTATCAATAGAGAAAATTGAGTATAGTTAAATTTATAGGAACTAAAAATGTAGTAAAATTGTCAATGTGGGAAGAGACAGAGAGAGAGAGGAGAGGAGAGGAGAGGGGAAGATTCATACATTGTATGTAAATAACTGGAGCTGCAGATAATGCTGACGCGTGTTATCGGTCTTTGGAGTTCGAAAGCAGTAGACTTTAATCATGATACTCAGTAAGTTGTGTGCGCGTCTACGAATCACTGCCACGCCGTTTATTCCACCTTGTTTGGAATTAGAAAAAAATGTCACAAGAAATATGCATTTCACCTATGTACCCGATAAAGAATTACAAACAAATGGTAAATATTCGAAATTATTTTTTATCATATTTTTAAGAGAAAAATATGCCTTGCATTTAAAGTATAAATTTTGATAGAGATTCAATACAAGAAATTTCTTGATTACCATATGAAAATAACACGATATACGACTATAGATTTCACAATATCAAAATTTAAAATCGAGTTTTTTTAACTTGCGCATAAAACTTCTTTTGCTATTTATCGATATTTTACATTATGATCTAGTGTTTAAGTATTATTATTATTAATATAATAATAATTATTATTATAACTAATTTTATTATAATTGTAATAATAATATATTATATTATTTAATAAACGGACGTAAAATTATTTAAACAATAATTAATATTATTATAATTATAATAAAATTAGTTACAGTAATTATTATTATATTAATAATATTAATACTAAAACACTTAATTATAAAGTAAAATATGGATAAACGGTACAAAAAGTTAATTAATATTATTATTATTATTATTATTATTATTATTATTATTATTATTATTATTATTATTATTATTATTATTATTATTATTATTATTATTATTATTATTATTATTATTATTATTGTTATTATTTTATTAATGTAAAGTATAAAAATTCGAATTTTTTAAAAATAATTCTAAAGAAATTAATAGAAAAATAAAATTCTTTCAAAAATAAATTTGCGTAGTGATATATAATTTTAGAAAATTTTAATAAAAAAATATTACATTTATAAACATTTTGAAAATTTTTAAATTCACTGAAAGCGATAAATAATTGCAAATTTTTGCATTATATATATTATATATATAATATATTATATATATTATATATATATATTATATTATATATTATTATATTATATATATATATATTATATATATTTATTATATATATTTATGATATAAAATATTATAATACTGTGTTATTTTAAAATAATAAATTTTGTTTTCATAATAATAAAAATAGTATAATAATGGTAAAACTAAAAAAAATATTATAATTTAATTATAAGACTAATAATTTTTTATTGACTATTGAATATAATAAAATAGGTATAAAAAATAATAAGTTATTAATAAATTTTTTCATTTTTTAGTTGAAACCAAACGGCTAAATATGTATCAAGCAATAAATGATGCTTTGAGACTCGCTATGGAGAAAGATTCTACAGCTGGTAAAAAACGAAAATTTGCAAATTAAATAAAGGCTTAAAAATTTATATTATATATAAAAATAAAAAATTTATAAATTTTAATTTAATGTATATTTATAAATTTTAATTTAAGCTAAATTTCTGAATTTCAATTTGACATAAATTTATAAATTCTAATTTATTCTTAGAGTAATTCCATGTAAAGTGATCCAATAGAAAATTAGATTTTAAAGAAAATTGTTTTATTCAAATTGACTTAATTTAAGTGATTTTAATTTTTATTATAGTGAATTTTGAAGCAATTTTAAAGCAATTTTTCTGTAATTTTCAATACCAATACCCTTTCTTCAAAAAAAAAATTATTTAACCCCTTTTTTTAAAAATAAACCTTATTTTTCAATTCTTTCAGAAATTACCTCTTTTTTAAAAAAAAATTTATTGAAAAGCTGATACCTATTTTTTTCAGTAAATTATGTAAAGTTAAAAAATCGGACAACAATTATAGATTTTCAATAAAATAAATCAAAATTTATTTAAAAAATTGATTTGTTTTTATTTTCTTGATAACCCATTGTAGTCCTATTTTTAAAAATTGCATAATTTATTAAAAAATATTTCAGCTATCTGATAAAAATGATAAAAATTAAAAAAAGAGGTAGTTTTTTTAAAAAAAAGTTAATTAAAAAAATTAATATTTAAAAATATTAAAAAGTTAATATTTTAGAATTGTATTATTTTATTATTATTTTATTTTTAATTTATTATTATTTTATCCAGATAAATACAATTAATTTTTATAAAAGTTAATATTTTAGGATTTTATTATTTTATTTATATTTTATTATTATTTTATCCACATAATTTATACAATTAATTTTTATAAAAGTTGATATTTTAGGATTTTATTACTTTAATATAGAACAACATTTAATTCAGAGTTTTAAGCGATTACTAGAAAATTAAAATTTTTACTTTTTGTAAACAAATTTTTTTTTAAATTTTTACTTATAGTTTCACGTGGAATTGCTCTTTAAATATATAAGAGGGTTTAAAAAATAAAAATTGCCCTTTAATTAACATTAATTTATAAATAAATCATTTAAACAAAAATTATTAAATAAATCTTTATTTGAAATAGTTTTTCCTTCCATTACAATAGTTGTAAAGAATTTTTTTTTATTTTTGGAAGATGATGAAAAAATTAAAAAAGAAAAACAATGATCTTTTTTAATAAGACGACGTTTTTTTTAATTTTTCCATTATCTTCCAAAAATTGAAAAACATTTCTTTATAAATATTAAATAAATCATTTGAATATAAATTTGAAAACAATTTAAAAAAAAATAAAATAAATTTGATACATAAATTTTTTTGTAATCATTAATAAAGAGGAAATAAACAATTTGCAATAAATTAAATATAAATTAAATAATAAATATAAATAGATAATAATAAACAATAAATTAAATATAAGAATAATTATTTTAAAAAAAAATAACAGAATTTACAAAAAAAAAAAAAAATTACAGTAATTTTCGGCGAAGATGTGGCATTTGGCGGGGTATTTCGTTGTACAATGGAATTGCAAAAAAAATTTGGCGCAGATCGTGTTTTTAATACACCATTATGCGAGCAGGGAATTGCTGGATTTGGAATTGGTCTTGCTAATCAGGGCGCCACAGCAATAGCTGAAATTCAATTTGCTGACTATATATTTCCAGCATTCGATCAGGTAAATTTCTTTTTCATAAATACTTTTTCTCTTTCTCTTTGGATAAAATGATCATTTTGAAATTTTTATTACCGTTTGTAATAAGTGAGAATTTCTCTATTACCAACAGTTGGTAAATGAAGCGGCGAAGGTACGTTATCGAAGTGGTGGTACATTTGACTGCGGAAAGCTGACGGTACGTGCGCCAAGTGGTGCTGTTGGTCATGGCGCACTTTACCATTCACAAAGTCCCGAGGCTTATTTCGCCCACACTCCCGGACTCAAGGTTATTATATCTACATCTGTGTCTTTTGCATATGCAATTTTTTTTGTTTAACATATTTTATATTCAAATAACTGTAGGTAAAAACAAATTTTTTTTTTTTTTTTTTTTTTTTTTTTGGAGGAAATAATCAATTGGAAGAGAAGAATGCAACATATGGTTTTCTTGATAGAAAATAATGGAAAATAATATTGTAAATATTCGTGCAATATGGAAGCTTGCAACAAGTCTGCAGATGGGTTGTTGTAAAATATTTCCAAGTTTACACTGCAAGATTGCTGCAAGCTTGCAATAAGCAAAGCAAAATGTCTGGAATATTTTTTTTATACTGCCTCTTTATATTAAGGCAATAAAAAAATTAATCCAGCATAGGACATTTTGCTTTGCTTACTGCAAGCTTGCAGCAAGCTTAGCATGCAATATTTCCAAGCTTACAACGCAAAATTGCAGAAAAAACATTAATAAAAACATTATAAAAAAAAAAAAAAAAAAAAAAAAACTTGCATGCAATCTTTTAATTCTTTTATGTCAAGATTGCAGGAAACTTTTTCTGAAATATTGTTACATTTCAGTAAACCTTGCACTATAAACTTGGCAATATTCTGACAATAATAATAAAAAACATTATTATAAAAAAAAAAAAAAAAAAAAAAAAAAAAAAAAAAAAAAATGTCTTGTAAAGTTAATATTGTGAAATTAGTAATATTCTAAAATTAATATTAATTTCATTAACAAGAGAACTAATTAAAAAATTAAAATTTAAGACAAGAGATAAAAAGACAAAAAAAAAAAAATTTCCATCAATAAAAAACGAAACTCAACCTTCCTTTTCCAATTGATTATTATTCGTGTTTTGTAAATAATTTATTTTGAGTTATTTTTTTATTACTATTTAGTGCGTGATACAGAGAAAAAAAAGAGACTTCCCTAGGTTGACCGTGAAATGATACCAGGGAGTCCTAATATGGATGGCCTTTCATTGAAAGAGGCTTTTAGCTATTGAAAGAGGATACGGATTAATGATCCAAATGAAAAATAGTCTTTAGGGGTCATTCGCAACATACGTGATATAGAATAGAAAACTCCTGAATGAGATTTCATTTATTGAATATATATATTTTTATTTTTTTTGCATTCATTACATATACAATTTTTAGTTTTCATGTTTAATTTTTTTTACTTTCCCCAAATAGAAATAGTAAAAAGAATATATTTATCACTTTGAAAAGTAAAAAAAATTCGAAATTACAATCTAAAATATTCTTGTCCAAAGTTTTAATTAAAAAAAAAAATATATCTCAAATTAAAATTTTCAAAGTATTTTAATTCATATCGTGAAAAAACCCAGTTAAAAATAAGACATTTTTTTATACTTCTTTATTCAGCTTTTGTAGAGTAATTTTTATTTACATTTGTTTTAAAACTTTTATCACTCATAATATATCTTTTTATGAATGAAAGCACAAAATACGATTATTATTGTTTAAAACAAAGTCTAATAAATAAAAGAAACTTTAATTTTGTCCACTATATGTTATTAACATCAAAGTAATTAATTGATTTATAAATAAACAATCCAATTAAATTAAAATAAAAAAGTTCCACTTATTATTCATATAGTAAATGCATTTCATAATAAAGAAATTGGAATAAGAAAAGTGGAATAAATAAAATTAAACTTTTAGATAAAAAATTATTTAATAAAAAAGAAAAGAAAATAGTAAAAATAGTAAAAGAAGGAAATTCATTATTTCTCAACTAAGATTTTCCAATTTATCGATTCGCGTGACATCTAAACCATATACATGCCCTTAAAAAAAATTAAAAGAAATTTTAAACAACTAAAAATTTAATGAATAAACAACCTTGAGTATAATAACAAAAAGTTCAATAATATTTATAATAAAAAGACTAGATAAACAATAAATTAAGAATTTATAAAAAAAACACAAGATAAGAAAAAAAAGTTAAATAAACAAAATAAAAATAGAAAAGTGTAACGTGAAGGCTGTATAGATATGTATGTAGAGCTTCTAACCTACAGCCTACAGGCTAACAGAAGAAATTTTTTATTAAATGCCCGACTTCCATATAATACATCGATTTCAAGCTATATCCATGTGTTAAAATAATATTTTTTTTTATTATTTATTAAACCCTATATGTAAGACGTGAAAAAAAAAGTTTTATACAACTTGGTTTACTTATTTAATTTTTATAATTTTCTTTATATACTTTTAAGAAGATAATGATTACAACGGAACGTTTATAAAAAGAAAATATGTGACAAGTCAAATGTGATAAAAGGGAAAAAATATTTCTTCTTACTATATTCCTCTTTATCAATTAATAATTGTCATAAAATAAAGATTAAATATGTGTATTAAGGCAATATTTTGGTAAAATAATGTTGTGATAAAATTAAGGCAATATTTTAGAAAATAATAACTAATTAAGGCAATATTTTGGCAAAATAGTAGTAAATTAAAGAATCATTCTGGCAAAATAAAGGCAATATTCTAACAAATTAAGGCAATATTTTGTCAAAATAATGACAAAGTAAAGCGTCACTTTTGCAAAATTAAGAAAACATTGAGACAAATTATGACAATATTTCGGCAAAATAATTTCAAATTAGAGCATTACTACGACAAAATTAAAACAATATTCTGACAAATAAATTCAATATTTTGGCAAAATAATGGCAAATTAAAGAATCACTGTTGCAGAATTAAAATATTTTAACAAATTAAGGCAATATTTTGTCAAAATAATGGAAAATTCAAGATTTACTGTGGCTAAATATAGGAAATTTTGTGTCAAATTTAGGCAATATTTTGGCTTAATAATGTCAAATAAAAGCATTGCTACGACACAATTAACGCAAAATTGCGACAAATTAAGGCAAAATAATGTCAAATTAAAGCATCACTGTGTCGAAATAAAGGAAATACTGTAAAATATTACGGCAATAATTAGACAAAATAATGTGAAATTGATGCCTTATTGTGGCAAAATTAAAAAAACTTTTTTGACAAATTAAAGCAATATTTTGTCAAAATAATGTCAAATTAACGCGTCACTATATCGAAATAAAGGAAACATTTTGAAAAATTAAAGCAATATTTTGTCAAATTAAAGTATCAGTGTGGCAAAATTAAGGCAATATTTTGGCAAAATAATGGAAAATTAAAGCGTCATTGTGTCGAAATAAAGAAAATGTTGTGCCATATTAAGGCAATATTTTGGCAAAATAATGGCAAATTAAAGCATACTGTTGCAAAGTTTAGAAAATATTGTGACAAATTAAGGCAATATTTTGGCTAAATAATGGCAAATTAAAGCGTCACTGTGTCGAAATATAGGAAATATTGTGCCAAATTAAGGCAATATTTTGGCAATAAAATGGCAGATTAAAACATTACTGTTTGCAAAATTTATAAAAGATTGAGATAAATTAAGGCAATATTTTTGCAATATAATGGTAAATTAAAGCATTACTGTGAAAAAATTTAGAAAACAAATTAAGGCAATAGTTTGTCAAAATAATGACAAATTAACGCGTCACTATATCGAATTAAAGGAATTATTTTGAAAAATTAAAGCAATATTTTGTCAAAAATAGTGGCAAATTAAAGTATAATTGTGGCAAAATTAATATAAAATATTTGGGCTAAATAATGGCAAATTAAAGCGTTACTGTGACAAAATAAAGGAAATGTTGTGCCAAATTATGACAATATTTTGGCAAAGTAATGGCAAATTTAAGCATTACTCTTGCAAAATTAAGAAAATATTGTGAAAAATTAAGGCAATATTTTAGCAATATAATGGCATATTAAAGCAATACAGTTGCAATATTTAGAAAACATTGTGTTAAATTAAGGCAATATTTTGAAAAATAATTTCAAATTAAAGATTCACTGTGTCAAAATATAAGAAAAATATTCTGCCAAATTAAGGCAATATTTTGGCAAAATAATGGTAAATTAAAGCCAAAGTTGTAAATTAAGCGTCACTGTGTCGAAATAAAGGAAATGTTGTGCCAAATTAAGGCAATATTTTGTCAAAATAATTTCAAATTGAAGATTCACTGTTGCAAAATATAAGAAAAATATTGTGACAAATTAAGGCAATATTTTGGCAAAATAATGGCAAATGAAAGCGTCAATGTGTCGAAATAAAGGGAATGTTGTGCCAAATTAAGGCAATATTTTGGCAAAATAATGGCAAATTATAGCATTACTCTTGCAAAATTAAGAAAATATTGTGACAAATTAAGGCAACATTTAGGCAAAATAGGTCAATTTAGTGTCAAATTGAGGCTAAAATTAATGCAATTCAGGCAATATTGTAACAAATTAAAAAAATATTTTGTCAATTAAGAAAATATTGTAACAAATTAAGACAAAATTTAAAAAAAAGAATCAAAACTAAAACAATACTTTTTAAATATTGTGGTAATTTGCGGCAATATTAAGAAAATTTTATAGTATGACATAGAAAATTAAAGAAAAATAGTGTCAACTCTGTGACAATATTGTGACAAAATTAAGGCAATTCTGCAGCAATTATTTAGGACAAAATTAAGAGAATTTAGTGGCTATTGAGGCAATTCTGAGCCAAAGTTACCAAAACAAAGGCAAAATGCTATCAATTGATACAATATTGCAGAAAATTGTTCTTGAAACAATAAAATTTTAATGCCATGAAATAATTCATCAAAATTGTGTCAATTCTTTAATTAAAATTCAATCAATTTTTTTGCAATACAATGGCAATATTGAGCCAAAAGTATATATAAAAATTAAGAAGGCAACTCAGTAGAAACATTGCATTAAATTGTCCAATTGCAACATCATTGCCATAAACTGTTTCTCATATACACCATTTATTTTGCCATTCAGTTTTTATACTCATATTATTTTCCGGAAACAAGTTGGATCATCAATTATGTCAAATGAAAAATCTAAATCAGCCTCAGGGTGTAAAATTCCTTCTTT